TCAATCTCAATTTCTAAATTCTACGGTTAGATCCATAGGTATGCAGTACTGAGGCATTTGAAGAACTGATCCTGAGCAATTTGAGTGGTGTCATTTTTATAGTCCAGAATGTTCACTTAACAGGTTGACATCTACAGGGAGTGCATACAGGCATGTTGTACTCCTAGAACCAATCCGATTGGTTCTCGAACATAAGGAGCAGCCCAATACCCCAGTAGAATTGTTATTAGAAGGAAAACGAACACAAGGATTGATAACAGTTACCGGGGGTGAACGTGGTGTAGGAGGGGTCTGAATGTAGGTAAATATCGAAGGTGTGCAACTTCGACATAGGTTAAGGAAAGGCAATCTCTGTGTAAGCAAGATATGAATAAATGGTCAGTTAAGGTCGGGCCAGCATTGGCATAAGATGTCGCGATGCAACCATTCGAATTTCCTAAGCCTTAAGCTAAGAGTAGCTATTAAAAGCGGTTGCGGAGGTTTTTTAGGCGGTTTTAAATGTATTTTGTATGAGTTGTTTTTAATTGCAAGCGTATACTCATCCCATAATCAGTGTGTTTGGTATTCCACGGAACCCTCCCGTTTTATTGCATTTCAAATATTGTGACCCCTCGTTATCTTCTGAGAATGAGCAGGAGAAAGTGAACGTGCGTACCCACGAACCCGAATCTGACCCCCTACCCTCGAGTCCTTGCTCATGACTGCTTGTGCGCGAAGGTGTGAAATTTTAATTTTGTGAGTTTTGTTCAAAATGTGCAGTTTTTATTTTAGAACAGAGAAAATTATACCATTGGAAAGGGCTTGAAAAATGCTTTCCAATGATACATTTTGAACAAAACTCACAAAATTAAAATTTCACACCTTCGCGCACAAGCAGTCATGAGCAAGGACTCGAGGGTAGGGGGTGAGATTCGGGTTCGTGGGTACGCACGTTCACTTTCTCCTGCTCATTCTCTGAAGATAACGAGGGGTCACAATATTTGAAATGCAATAAAACGGGAGGGTTCCGTGGAATACCAAACACACTGATTATGGGATGAGTATACTCTTGCAATTAAAAACAACTCATACAAAATACATTTAAAACCGCCTAAAAAACCTCCGCAACCGCTTTTAATAGCTACTCTTTGTAGCTCGCGAACGATGAGCTTAGCGTCCTCGACGGAGTCAGCTCCTGAAAGGACATCGTCTACATACATATGAGTTGCAGGACTCGAATGGCCAGGAATGGCGAAATCTCGAATGTGACCCCCGCTGCTGCGGAATAAGATGCGCTGGAACGGGGAATGCTTCGGATCTATCCATATCTGTCGATACATTTTCTCGATATCGGCACTGTAGACGTATCGGAAATATCGCCACTTCAGGCTCTGGATCGTTAGATCGGACTGTAAGACTGGGCCAGCATGAAGGATATCATTTATACTGACCCCATTCTCTAAAGGGCTGGAGGCATTGAAAACCATACGTAGCTTGGTGGTTGTACTTTCCGGCTTGAGCACGGCATGATGCGGAAGGCAATAACTGGCAGAATTATGGGTAAGACGGACTTCTTTCATGTGATGGAGGTCGAGATTCTCTTGAACCACGAAGTCGTATTTGCTTTTCAGCTGACTGTCCCTCCTTAGGCGTTGCTCGGTTCTTAGGAACTGCGACAACGCGGAGGAACTGGAGTGACCGAGGGCGCGTTTTACGTATTCAGGATCACGAAAAGGAAGACTTACGACATACCTGCCGTTATCGTCTCTAGTAGTCGTCCGGAGAAAGTTTTCCTCACAGGTCAAATCTGAAGATTTTGTCACTTTTACTGGCAGATCTTCCACCTCCCAAAATTTAATGAGAAGCCTATCCAGGGACGTGCCAACCGTGTGGAAGATTCGCGTGAAAAAATCGGAAATCTAATTTTCCCTTGGAGCAGGAACGGGTCCTGTTAGGAGCCACCCGAAAATGTTTTCTTGACCGAGGGCCACAAATGTTCAGCCGGGTGCCGCTTAAATGTTGCCTGTGATCCTGAATCTATCAAGGCACGAGCTTTAAAATTCGATCCCAGGTGACATATGTCAATTATGGCGGTGTCCAGCAAGACGCATCTTTACCCTGTCGCGAAGTTATTTTGGACTGTAGAGTCCGTGGACCCGGTAGCGGTGGCAACTGGTGTATTTGGTCTTGATCTGGGTCTCGGGGAGGGGTTCGAAGGCGATGGGGAGGAGTTGCCTCTGTGTAGTAAGATGTGATGGCGGCCGCGGCACGTAAAGCAACTATGAGTGCTTTCACAATCACGCAGCTGATGCACTCGTGCGAAACAGTTCAGACACAGCTGCTTCCTCTTTATATATGCCGACCGCTCGTCGATCGTCATCTGGAGAAATCGTGCACATGTGCGGACAGGATGGTTTTCCTTCTTACAAAGGTTACATCCTTTTCTTGTCTCGTAAGAATTTATTCTTCGAGGCGCTGCAGTGGGGCGGATGTTTTTGGCAGAGATTGACTCGAGCCTGACGGGAATACGTCGTCTATGGCTTCTAAGGTCCGGTGACGCTCCGTAAGGAAGGTGTTCAGTTCCTGCCACGTCGGAATCTATGCCTTGTTGTGCAGGGACTGTTCCCACAAGGATAGCCTGAGCTTAGGAAGTTTGAAGGAGCACGTGTACACTAAGAGGCAATCCCAATTTTCGGTTTCAATTCCGGACATTTTTAAAGCCGTGAGGCAACCCTGGATGGTGCGTTGAAGTTCTTGGATAGCTGACCCAGATTCCTGATTAACGGACTTCACCTTAAAAAGTATTTTTAATTGGCTATTTTCTAACAACCGCTTGTTTTCGAAACGCTCAGTTGGGTTAGCCCAAGCTGAGCGAAAGCCATCGTTACTAAGGGGGGAGTTCAAAACTATAGTGTGTGCATCGCCACTTGTTTTTGCATTTAGGTGAAGCAGTTTTTCGACTGGCGTCAGCCTTGGATTGTTTATATGGCCGTAAACAGATCCCTAAGCGTCGGCCACCGCAGATAATCTCCGGTAAAAACCTCGGTATCGCACGGAGGCAGCCGACATCCAGAGGAAATGTAAGTCTGGGTAGGAACAGCTTGAACTTGGGGAGCTTGGGCTATTGTATCCGCGATCTGAGCCCCACATCTCTCGTTAACGGAATAGCAGTAGCCGTATTTAGCTTTGAGAATTGGCAAACTATCAGCTGCACTGTCTCCGGCTTCTGCTATGCACCCGGTGCATTCGTCGTACTCTGCCTTGATGCGGTCCCATAACGCGCGTATTTCTTCGCGGCGAATGTTAAGCATGAAAAGAGTTGGAGGGACCGGCGAAGGAGTGTTTGTCCTGGATTCAAATTCACTCAGCCGATCTGAGACCTCAATAAATTTGCTTAGAGCAATTTGGGAAGCTTTAGTGCCATTTTGACGTTTGCACGGGTGACCCTTTTTCGGGGCGACAAGGACTTAGCGGTTAGTTCGGGTGTGGGCAGAGCTACGGATATGCCTGGGACTACGGCAGGTGGAATAGACAACTTGTTGTTATCACTTCCAACGGACATAAAAAAATGTCCTTTTTTGGGTCAGAATCTGCTCGCCTTTGCTTATGTCGAATAAATAGGAAACCTTGTCCACTTCTGGAGCAGTGGAACGAGGTGTTGACAAAAAAGTCGTGGATCGGAGTAATAGAAATTGCAGCACCGACCTCGTTACTTTGCGGAATTAAACCCTATAATAAGGATTAGTAACGGTGAGTAAGGAGTTCGTATATCACCGGTGGAGAAAAAATACTATGGTATTTAACCTTTTTGGTATATTTATATTGTAATATGGTATAATTGGGATCGAGTTTGGTCTTTTTTTTAGTGCTGGTATTATTTTTGCCTTTAGCCTAGTACTCAGATCGGCTAAGAGTTTCACTAGTCGAAAAATCTTATTCTTTGTAGTGAGAACGAAGCTTTCAAAGTTCACCAGCAAAGCATCTATCATGGTCTTACTGTCAAGCAGCTGGGCTTGTTGCCAAACGGAAAACAAATCAATTGGAGAAATTTAAAAAGGAGCAGTCTGCTGGTACACAAATAAATTTAAATAAAAAATAAATGGAATGTTCAACGAATGTTTTCATTTATGTAAATTAGTAGTTTAAAGCTTCCTTCTCGTCCCACGGATGCTTCGCTATCTTTCCGCCATCTGTAGTACAGCTCCGAGTCCCAATAGGCTGGTCAATAATGGCTGGTGATGGGTCCTCCAGCTGTCCCTTAGCGGGCGACCATATTTTCTCCTCCCTACAGAAGCCGACGCATTCTGCATCTCCGCTTTAGCTGTCAAGTACCTGGTGGAGGAGAGCTCGTCGGAGATCGAACGATGTCTCATGTTCCTTCCCACTGGGATTCTTTAGTGAATCTCCTCCAGCGCTTCAATTGTTCTGCAGATTTGCCCCGTTGTGGTATTGCTTCCTGTCGGTCAAGTCCCACAACAATGGGCAACAGCTTGGATTAGGCGTCCATTTTCATCTGCACTGACCTCCTTTAGCCGTTTTTGGTGATTTTCTTCCATTTTAAATTTTTAAATTCCCCACCGCTTCTGCACGAATACCACCAAAGATTAAATTTCTTATTCTTTGGGCCGCGGCTAACGGCGTTCATCGAAAACTCACTCGCGATATCTGGTATTTTTCCTGGTATTTCCTTAGCTCACCTGAGTACCGCGCTTTAGCCGCCTGTTTGCCTGTCGCTCACTTTTATGGTTAGCTCGCGGTTTTCGTCGATGTGAGTACTAGGCTTTTGAAATAATTTTTGAGAAAAAATACCGAATATGTGTTAATATCTATTATAGTCACCGGTGGAGTAATAGTATTATTTCGCCCATATTTAAACTTCTGAGTAAAGAAAAATACCAAAATATGCCAAAAAAGTTGTTGGCCTGAGGATGCTACGCATTCGGTGGAGTGCTGGTATTACTTTCCCCAGATAAAAAGATTTTTACGTAGTAAATACCAAATACCGAAAAATACTGAATAGATTCGTGATTGTTATTTAAAACACAATGAGGTAAACAAATTTTCACGTCGGCTGGTCTAATTTTTATTTTACTATATTTAACCGGATTGCCGACGGAAAACGTTAATAAGTGAGAACGGGATGGTGGGAATTGTAATTATATGTGAATGTATGTAGGTATGTGTGTATATAGATATTTATGTATGTAGATATGGATACCCTTCAGTTCCAAAAAAAAAAGTTTCACTTGTGAATCACCTTGGGAATCACCTGGGACATGTCCTCGTGCACAAGTGAAGAACAAGTGACGCTCCATATAGAAATTGTATGGGATGACCGCATTTTCCCAAGTGAAAATTCAAATGAACATTTTTCGAAGTCCTACGGGATTTCACTTGTTCCTTATACTCATTTTTCATATGGCCTGTCACGTGCCGGTGACTCGTCCCAAATTAATCACTTGGGAAAATCAGAATTTTTCCTTGAGTTTTCACTTGTGAAATCACTTGCAAGGGACACGTCCCAAGTGAATCACTTGGGAAAATCAGAATTTTTCCTTGAGTTTTCACTTGTGAAATCACTTGCAAGGGACACGTCCCAAGTGAATCACTTGGGAAAATCAGAATTTTTCCTTGAGTTTTCAATTATAAAAAAATAGAATTTAAAATACATACATATTTAATTTCATTTTAATTATTTTTAATTATACAGTATTATTAAGATTTTCAAAAATTGTACAGTTATTATTTCTGTGTTTTTGCTTGGTAAGTTTATTTTTAACATTAGTCATTGCCTTTCTTAAAGATTTGTCCGAGTCCTCGGAGTCCTTGGCCAACGCTCCTGAAAAATGTAATGCATATGTTTAGAAATGCGTTTTACTTTTTTATTTGTATATTTACCTTTTAGAGCTGTGTTTCACCCTTTGCAGGATTTTTATTGGCACAAAACATTTCATCATCCACTTTCGGCTAACGGAACCCATTGAATACCTTTATACTTTAAACTAAGATCGATGCACAACATCTTCAACTTAATGTAACACTTACCTGACTTTATTATTTTCACTTTAAAAAACGAAAGAAGTAAATCTGCTGCGCACAATTTAAATGGCTTGCTTCCCTTTCAATAACTCAAACAGAATGAACCAAGTCTTCCTCTCACCCCTTTACTTAATTTTTTTTGTTTTCTCTTCGCAGTTGGCGCGTGCCACTGCACCTATACCCTTTCTAAAGCGAAAAATATCAGACTACATAATTTTTACTTTTTTGAGTAAAAAATACAAAATGAATTCTTTAAAAATGGTACTATTAAAATGTTTTAAATATTTAAATAAATTTTAACGAACTAAATTTCTATAATTTAACTAAAAAAGTATATTGTAATATTAATGTATAATACGTAAGCATAACATTAAAAGTAAATTAAATTTACTATAATCAAATAATTTACTTTTATAAAACAATATTAGTTGTTTTTTTTTCGATATACAATAATGCTCCTAAAATATTAGGGCATTCACATGTCGCTGTGACACGAAAATTTTTCCGCATTAGTCGCTAGCCGAACATAAAGGAGAGACTCAAAAGAAATAACGGACCTGCCGAAATTTGTCTCTGAGAGCGCAGAGTGCAGGCAGATTATAAGACAAAGAAAGAGAGGGAAGCTCCGAATATCTGTCTCTCTTTGTTGCACGATCGTTTTCGTAGACAGTCTTCTACACTGCGCCGACTTCTCTGCTGACGTCAACAGCGGCACAGCGTTTTAGGCACAAAAAAAAAACAAAAAAGCTTTTTGCCTTGAGCCATGTCACCGCGTCCCTACTGCAGAACTGAAGGGTATGTATGTAGATATTTATATGTATGTAGATATTAATATGTATGTAGATATGTATGTATGTAGATATGTATGTATGTAGATATGTATGTATGTAGATATGGATATGTATGTATGTATGTAGATATGGATATGTATGTATGTAATGTTCGCAGGTTTTATATTTATTAATTAATTATTGCCGGCGTCTATGTGTTGTGGTTTACGTTTTCGATTTATTTGTATGTGGACTGTATTTGGAAAAACGAAAAAATATGTGCAAGTATTTTAGCGGCTGCGGATGTACAGTGAGAAAATCTTGGAAAGTTTTGGGGGCCTGAGTTGGCAGAACACTGCAAATTAAATAGTTCTCACTGTATGCTTGGCATATATTTGCACAATATTTTTTCTAAGCTTCGAATTTTTTTCTCGATTTTATATAAGTTTATGCACGTATTGATGCACGGCCAAATGCAATTAAAAGAGGGAGTCTGAAAAATGGGCAATATGGCCGAACGTAGCAAAAGTAAAAACAAAGAAAAAATGTCGAAATAATTTATTTATTGCCGTTGTCGGATTTAATCGGACTTGGATTTTGGACAAATCGTACAGAAAGTCAAACTGACTGCAGACCGGCAATTAATAAAATGAAAAAGCTTTACTTTTCTTGTTTCAAAATCCGGCTCGAAGGACAAAAATGTACGCCGGGGGTAGCGAGGTATCGTCGGCGCTGGTAGTTGGCGTGGGAGGCGGCGACGGGAATTGGCGGCGTCGACGGGCTGCTGCGCTGGGCTTCGGCGGCTGGAGTACGTCGGATGCGGCGGACTGCGTCTGAGCTGTGGGGGAGAAACCACACGATACGCGAAGTGTCCCGTTGACCGAAAGAAATTACACTTGTTCACTTCTACAAACTAGGCGGGGGACCGACCGCGGTTTATTCTTATGAACTGCCAGTCCCAAACTGTTTAAATCTTAACTGAGTTCCGCGCTTCAAAGCGCAGCGGAGACTTCACGGAGGGGAGTTGGGAACAGAGCGGGAGAGCGGTGCACTAGGAGAGTGGTGCAATTGGATAACGGTGCCCGGGTCCATATTCGCCGGACAGTGGGCCTGAACAACCAAAAAAAAATTATTTTTACCATATTTATTGATTATGTTTTATATTCTGTCGCACATGAAATCACAAAGACAAAGTTACATCCCATACGACAAATACGTATAAGAAGCGCATGAAATCTGGATAGACTGTGAAAAGTTTGCATATAAACTGTAACGAGTAAAAAAGCGGACATCCCATACAAATGTCTATATAGATTATCATGCGTGCGTCACGAGTGATTCACAGGTGAAATCTTATTTTGAATTGAATTGAAGGGTTCTTCTAGATCTTTTGTCAGTCAGGTAAGTGCTTAAGTTAAGTTAAAGTTAAGAATTATCTCGAAAAAACAACAAATATTGCTTTATAAAAGTAAGTTATTTGATCATAGTAAAATTAAGTAAATTGAATTTACTTAGGCATTATGTTTGTGTTTATACATTACAATTACAATGTAATTTTTTTAGATTAGTTACAGAAACGTAGTCCGTTAATATTTAATTAAATTAATTAAATATTAATATTGTGTATTTACTTAAAGCCTAGTACGCAGATCGGCTAAGAGTTTCACTAGTCGAAAAATCTTATTCTTTGTAGTGGGACCGAAGCTTTCAAAGTTCACCCGCAATGCATGTAGCATGGTCTTACTGTCAAGCAGCTGGTTTTGTTGCCAAACGGAAAACAAATCAATTGGTAAAATTTAAAAAGGAGGAGTCTGCTGGTACACAAAGAAATTTAAATCAAAATGAATGGAGTGTTCAAGGAATGTTTTCATTTATGTAAATTAGTAGTTTAATGCTTCCTCTTGTCCCACGGATGCTTCGCCATCTTTCCCGCTCCACCGCAGTATAGCTCAGAGTCCCAATAGGCATATTGCACCTTGAGGAAGTGGGAGAGCGGGGTTGATCCGCTGATGCTGCAGGAAGTCGCCCAGCATCCTGGCAGTGGCTGGCTATGGCTTCCCCAACTGTTCCTTAGCGGGCGCCCTATTTTCCTCCTCCCTATAGAAGCCAGCGGGACCTCCAGCTCCGGTTAAGCTGCCAAGTTGCTGGTGACGGTGGTGTCCGGAGTGCTAATGGAGAGGTCACAACGAAATTCTTTTGGCCAGATCTTACTTTCTTTGCGAGGTTGCGCCCGGCCGGATGTCCATGTAGAGATCGAAGTCCTACTCGGCATGTTCCTTCCCACTGGGTTTCTCTAGTGGATCTCCTCCAGCACTTCTACTATTCTGCGAATTTGCCCCTTTTGTGGAATTGCTTCCTGTCGGTGAAATCCCACAATAAAGGGCATAAGCTTGGATTTGGCGTCCTATTTCATCTGCACTGACCTCCTGCATCCGATTTTGTGGGTTTCCTTCCATTTTTAATTTTTAGTTTCCACATCGCCTTTTCACCAACACCGCCAAAGATTAAATTTCTTAAGCCTAGTACTCACATCGATGAAAACCGCGAGCTAACCATAGGAGTGAGCGAGAGACAAATACGCGGCTAACGCTTTTCGTCGGGTCTGTTTTTCAGCGCGGCACTCAGATGAGGTAAGGAAATACCAGAAAAAATACAAGATTTCGCGAGTGAATTTTCGATGAACGCCGTTAGCCGCGACCCAAAGAATAAGAAATTCAATCTTTGGCGCTATTCGTGCAGAAGTGGTGGGGAATTTAAAAATGAAAAATGGAAGAAAAACACAAAAAACGGCTAAAGGAGATCAGTGCAGGTGAAAAAGGACGCCTAATCCAAACTGTTGCCCATTATTGTGGGACTTGACCGACGGAAAGCAATACCACAACAGGGCAAATCCGCAGAATAGTTGAAGTGCTGAAGAAGATCCACAAGAGAATCCCAGTGGAAAGGAACATGGAACACCGCTCGATCTCCGACCAGCTCTCCACTGAAGACTCCACCTCCAAAAAGTATAAGGTCGCCCGCTTAGGGACAGCTGGAGGAGCCATCACCCGCCATTATTGCCTATTGGGACTTGGAGCTGGACTACAGATGGCGCGGGAGAGATGGCGAAGCATCCGTGGGACGAGAAGGAAGCCTTAAACTTCTAATTTACATAAATAAAAACTTTCGTTGAACATTTCATTTATTTTTATTTTGTGCACCAGCAGACTCTTCTTTTTTAAATTGCTCCAATTAATTTGTTTTCCGTTTGGCAACAAGCCCAGCTGCTTGACAGTAAGACCATGCCACATGCATTGCGGGTGAGCTTTGAAAACTTCGGTCACACTACAAAGAATAAGATTTTTCGACTAGTGAAACTCTTAGCCGATCTGAGTACTAGGCTTTATTCTTTCTGCCGTGGCTAACGGCGTTCATCGAAAATTCACTCGCGAAATCTGGTATTTTTTTTGGTATATCCTTAGCTCATCTGAGTGCCGTGCTGAATAACAGACCCGACGAAAAGCGTTAGCCGCGTATTTGCCTCTCGCTCACTCCTATGGTTACCTTGCGGTTTTCGTCGATCTGAGTACTAGGCTTAAAGATGAAAGATGTGGGATTCGGAAATTCACGTTTCTCAAAAAACCAAATGGCTTCCAACGGATAGACTGTATGCGAAGGGCGTGTAAGCTGCATTATAGTATCGTGATAGTTGATAAAGCCTAGTACTCAGATCGGCAAAGAGTTTCACTAGTCGAAAAATATTATTCTTTGTAGTGTAACCGAAGTTTTCAAAAGTTCACCCGCAATGCATGTGGCATGGTCTTACTGTCAAGCAGCTGGGCTTTTTGCCACACGGAAAAAAACTCAATAGGAGCCATTTAAAAAAAAAGAGCCTGCTGGTGCACAAAATAAAAATAAATGAAATGTTCAACGAATGTTTTTGTTTATGTAAATTAGAAGTTTAAGGCTTCCTTCTCGTCCCACGGATGCTTCGCCATCTTTGCCGCTCCACCGCATTACAGCTCCGAGTCCCAATAGGCATATTGGACCTTGAGGAAGTGGGAGATCGGGGTTGATCCGCTGACGCTGCAGAAAGTCGCCCAGCATCCTGGCAGTGGCTGGCTTTGGCTTCTCCAACTGTTCCTTAGCGGGAGCCCTATTGTCCT